GAACCTTTAACTAATTACATTTGTTATTAGAGTGTATCTATTAATTTTTTATTTGTACTCTTTAGAATTATATTCATTTCATTTGATTTTTTTCTTTTTTCAATGTTTTTTGCAATAATGTATTTTTTAACACTGTTGTGGTATAAAAGAAATTACCTGCTACACTTATTGTACAAATACCTAATTTTTTAAATTCAATGATATCTCGTAAAAAATAATCTCATTTTAGAAGAGCTAGAAATACGATAACATTTTGATTCCCCACCTTTGCTAAAGTGTGTAGTAAGGCGGTCCTCAGTGATCACCAGTCTTTGTTTGATATATATGTCCCTATTCCTTATACAGTATGGTTCAAATGAAAGGAATAAATTCATTATAATGGAAGTAGGTGGTTTTTCGAAAAAATGCTCGGGACAGGTCAATTTTGTTTACTAAAAGCGCAATTTTTTAAATAGAATTTAATTTTCCCCCACTTCCCATTTTTAGGCAGTGACGTCATTGACAATTTTTTTAAATAGTAACCCCAATTTTTTTTTCTTGATTTTGATAGATCTTGCAATTTCCTACATAATATTTGAAATATCTGACAACAATTTTTTTTTAATAAAAGTAATTTAAAGATCAGATACATAAATTATATTTTATTTTGAAATACAATAAATGAATAAAAGATTATTTGTAATTAAGTGCTTCATCTAAAAAAATAATAATAATAAAAAGAATTTAATGACAATTTCACAAATTCTTTTTTATTATTATTATTATTATTATTAATATTATTATTATTAATTATTTTGTTAGATAAAGTACTTAATTACAAATAATTATCTTTTATTTATTTATTGTGTTCTCAAAATAAAATAAAATTTATGTGTCTGATCTTTAAAAGTGTTTCATTCAAAAAAAAATTGTTTTGTAAGATATTTCAAGTATTATGTTTCCGAGTAGAAAATTGCAAGATCAATCAAAATCAAGAAAAAAAAATTGGGGTTACTATTTAAAAAAATTGTCAATGACGTCACTGCCCAAAAATGTAAAGTGGGGGAAAATTGAATTCTATTTAAAAAATTGCGCTTTGAGTAAACAAAATTGACCTGTCCGAGCATTTTTTCGAAAAACCAACTACTTCCATTATAATGAATTTATTCCTTTCATTTAAACCATACTGTATATTTCATTGTAAAGCAAAGGGTCCACGTACTTTTATATAAGTTTTATACAATATAAAAATTCATCAAGGCAGCTAACACAACTATTTTATTAAGTTGCTTGAAATCTTTCGTATTTCACATAATTTAGTAAAATGAAACAAAGTGGATTACAATCCTCACTTAAAATTCATACAATCTACATAATTATATTTCACTCAAAGCTATTAAAAATAAAATTCTCACTTTGTGCTTCTAATGCTTTCCTAAAGTGTACGAATACATCCGCTCTTTACTATCAAATATTAAGATTGGATTTAAAAATAAATTCAAATACAAAATCGGACGCGAAACGAGATAACAAGACATACCACTGGCAACCATCCAAATGTGACTCAACTTGTTTAACAAAATGCAAATTTACATTGATAAAAAGCATATAGTGGTAAGAGGCAAGATTCTGGTCTGTTTGCCTTGTTAGAAGCCGCTTCTTGGCAGTCTTGGCAATGTGCTACTTAACAATAATTCTATGCATGACATCATCGCCTAGCTGTATTTTATTTTACTTTTGTAATGCTTTGAGAAATGTTTAATGCAAATCGACTTCATGATTTTTTATCCAGCAAATAGTGCGAATTTAAATTTAAAAAACAAAATATACATACAAGTCGTTTGTGTGCACATATTCTTAATAGCGGTATAATCAGGGGAGAGCAACAAACTGAAATGGAATAAATTGAGGAGAATAATCAGTACCACTCAAATTAACGGGAAAGAGCTCGTGTCGAAATGACAGTTGTCAGTGTCAATTGTCAGGTCGTGCAAAACTTTAAGCTTCAAGATGGCCGTTGAAGGTTGTTTGGATTCTGATTCTCCTAGATTCAATATTTACAACTCTTTTATTTCGTGAAAAAATTGTCCTGAAACAAAGTACTTTTATTGTTTTTCCCCTGACAGAATACGACAGCCCCAGAAAAAAGACCATACCTAATTCATTAGTTTATTTCTATCTGGATTCAATAACAAACTTTACTCTAAATCAATATACTCTGACTTTGAGATCGAAAGATCTCAGGATCGAATCCCACCGGTGGCAGGAATTTTTATTTAATTAAACAAAAATTAAATATTAATTCTAATGCATAGGTAGCATTCCCCACTCGACCATTCACTGTTGGGTTCTAATTAACAGTGTTGTTCCTGAAGTGGCACTGAGAAACAGTGAACAAAGCCTACACAGAACATACATAATTAAGAATTCAAACACAAACTGAGACTGACATATTAGGTACATACACCTTGGCCATAACTCGAAAAAAAAAAAAAAAAAAGATCATGGGGTAAACAATGTAAAAAAAAGTAGACCTTATGAAGCAACATATTTGGGAAATATTAGAATTTCTTTAAACACTTATAACTGTCAAGATGGAGCGGGTCGAGATCCTACCTAAAGGGTTCCCTGAGACTATCCTCAGTGCGAACGAACAAACCCTGGTGGAAGAAACCATAGTAGAAGAGATGTTCGCTGGATAGGAGCATAAGCTCCAATTCGGAGGCATCCGCTTCCGGCCAGGAATAGACCTAATTGACTATGAAACACCATTCAGCAGAGTGGCTCAGGCCGAAAATCCCACACCTAAGCAACTGGAAGGGAGTGGAGTTGGAGGTATGTGCGGGAGACAACATCCCGAAAGCACATACAGCCACGCTTTCTCCCAAGAAGTCAAGTGCAGCCTATAGAGAAGCTTCTACAGTTAATATAAGCGCAGAATGTGGGTCTATCAACCACACTGTCGAAAATCGTCAGCCAAAAAGACTACGGCAAAGACCAGATTCTTAGATTAGAAAATCCCCGTACATGGAAATAAAGGAACTGGGAGAAGACACAGAACCAACTCCTAGTACTTCCAAAGATGAGACTGATGTAGAAGAACATAGAGAGCCTTAACCTCTCAAATATTTGCGTAGACTCATTTGATGATGTAGAAATATATGAAGAAGCGGAAGAGGGGATATGGAACACACCTTCACCGATAGGGATGGCATCCCCATTAAAGGAGTAAAATGGCGAGCACTTACATCGCCCAAGTGAATGTCCATCACGCCAAGTGAGCCTCGGCTGTGATCTCCAGGACATTCACTAAAAACCAATTACGGATCCTACTGATCCAGGAACCGTGGGTCTACGGAAACTAGGTAAGAGGACTTGGATGTTAGGATGCAAGGGTAAGTTACACTAGTGATGAAGTACCCAGAATATGCATTAAGGTAAGAAATAATATTAAATATTCTTGTATTTCAGAATTCATGACGCGTGATCTCTTCCCAATTCGAGCATACCTGGAATTTGGTATGAGACGGCAAGACATAGTAATAGGTTCTAGTTACTTCGACAGAGATGGGCCTGTACCACCCCCGGAAGTATTGAGGCTAGTGGGGTACTGTCAGAGAAGACATCAGCCATTACTTCTTGGATGCGACGCCAACGTACACAGCACCGTATGAGGAAGCAACGACACCAATCAAAGAGGTGAGAAACTCTTAGAATATATTTCTAATAAGAACCTTATTGTGCAAAACATTGGGAATACTCCAACATTTGTAACAAGGGCAAGAAGTGATCACATTAAGTACACCGATTATTAAAGATCTAGTTTCAAACTGGAGAGTATCGAGTGAACTATCTCTATCTGATCACAAGATAATTGTGTTTACGTTAGAAAGCGACATTCCTAAGACGTTCCTCAGAAGGAATCCTAGAAAAACAGACTCGGACCAATACAACACCATTCTAAAACAAAATTTAGCACACATGCAGACAAAAAAGGGATCTAGGCACCCACTTGCTCTGGAAAGCGATCTCGAAGAACTAAATGGGGCAATACTTGTGGCATATGAATCAAGCTGTCCCATTCAAAGACATAGCACCAGTAGGGATGCTTCTTGGTGGAACCGTCATCTGTCAAACTTACGATTCGAAGTACGGAAGCTCTATAATAGTACTAAGCACAGCTGAAATTGGCAGAGCTACACCGAGGCACTACAACAAAGAAATCAGTAAAGCTAAACGTAACAGCTTCAGAAAATTCTGCGAGGATATTAACTCTGCACCTGTGGCAGCGAGACGACCCTGGCAAAAGGAAGAGTTGATACAGTTATGGCATTAAAGAAACTAAATGGAAGCTTTACAGAGCGTGAAGAGGAAAAAACTCGCCTCTTACTCGAAACTCACTTTCCTGGAAGTACACCTTTTCTAACAAGGAACACAACTAAGGTAAGCAGACCGCCAAGAGAGGCCGCTGAAGTGGTCAAACATATATGCAGCAGAAATCGGCCGTAAACACTTTTGAACCGTTTAAGTCTTCAAATGTGGATGGAATATTTCCTGCCCTGCTTCAGCGGACACAGGAACAATTACTATAATAGTATAAAGAACTTATTTCATAAGTAATTTATTGCACTCGTTTTCTCTTATGAGCGTTGTTAGGGGAATTTAAAAAGGACTCAAATGGAAAAAACAAGCAAAATAAAAAGAAGGTTTTAAAAAGGGCTCAAACGGAAAATTTATAAAGAACTTGTTTACTATATAATTTATTGCCCTTAACTTCTCTTATAAGTATTGTTAGAGACGCAAAATAGAAATGGGAGATTTAAAAAGAACACAAATAGAAAAATAGAAGAAATAACTCGTTTCATAAGTAATTTAGTGCACTCGTCTTTTTTTTTATGAAACTCGTTTCCGACAAATAAAAGAAGTTGACATTTCATTTTTGCAAAATACCAATTTTCCAAACTATAGTTAAGTCTTTCTGGTGTCGCAAATCACCCTCTATAATTTAGTCTATGACTTACTTTGATTGCAGTCTTATCAACGAGTAGTCCATCTGAAGCAGTCGGCGAGTTACATGGGCTATGAGGAAGGCCTTCATCGTCTTCGCTAGTATCACCGCGGCCTCTTCTTAGTCTCAACCTCTCAGTTAGTTCAGTCTGAAACAAAAAGTAAAACATTAATTAAAAAAGTAAATCGCATATAGAAAACACTATATATTTAAGAGTTCCAGCAAATTAACTTAAATTTCCGTTTTTTTTTTTAAATATTTGTTTCGATCGTTATTCGAAACAAACTCATTCTTATTGTTAAACATAATTTCAAAAACATGGAGAAAGTTTGGATGCCACGATTCGCAAATGGGGTCCAACGTTTTGATTGTTCCAAGGTCTAGAAAAGATAATGATTGCGTTTTTTAAAATCATATTTTTTTGCTCTTGTTTTGCATAATGTTATTCATTTCATTGATAATTTATTTTTCTCAGAATAATTGTATTATTTGCAGTAATAATGTAGTACATACATACGCCAGGTGTTAATTTGTTTTCTTTGTTTATAAAATAAATATTAAAAAATGTTGCATTGTTTTGTTCGTTTTATCAGCTAGTTTTGCAACAAATATTGTTAATTATTCATTTGTTTTCTTTCATTAAATAATTGAAAATTAAATTGAATTATTGAAGGAATCCATTGACTCAAACAGGGTCGGATTTACCACTAGGCACAGCAGGCAATTGTCTAGGGGCGAAAAGCCCCAAAGGGGCGCCGATGTTTTGATATTAATAATTGATACCTGAGAAAACCGAAAAACAAGAAAACAGATAACTTTACCTGAATTTACTTTACATTGTTTTTCTTTTAAGTAATTAAATAAGTTCTTCTTATTATACTTTTTACACAGTAGTTTGTGAAGAGTATTATAGATTTCTTTGTTCGTCCGATGTCACGTTTTTTGCCCGAACGATAAGTCAAAAACGAAACATTGATTTTGAAAAAAATTGATTAAAAATGGGAAATTAAGGGTGGTTGAAATTAGAAAAAAAAATCATATATCAAAACCGAAAAGCGATATAAACATGAAATTTTTAGTAAAAATCAAGCTCTATAAGGAGATGAAGCTTGATTCTGAAAAAAAATTGAATAAAATGGGGGGGGGGGGTTAAGAGGAATTGAAATATTTAAAAAATCCTAACTCAAAAACGAACAATAATATCAACTTGAAATTTTTGGCAAAAATCAAGCTCTATAAGGGGACAAATCCTATTGATTTAAAAAAAAATCTGAATAAAATAGGGGTCAAGGGGGGTTTAAATAAAAAAAAAAATAGAAACCAAAGAAAACATATAAGGAAATTAATAAATAAATAAAAAAATTCTAACTCCGAAACAAAAAACAATATATATAAAATTGAAATCTTCTGAAAAAATCAAGCTTTGTAAGGAGATGTTGATTCTGAAAAAAATCTGATTGAAATTCTAATTTTATTTGTATAAAGTATAAGCTGAATGCAATTATTTGCTAAAAACAAAGATAATACGTCAAACTCAAGACATCAAAATAGCGCATAACTTGTCAGTAATTTAGTCATAATGAGTTAAGAGGAGTATTTACTTGGATGTAGAGAGGAGCCTGCAAGGGTTTCGTAGTACCCCCACTTTTAAAGTTTACTTTTGCCTTATTCTGAAAGAAAAAAATATGTTCGTGTAGGTAAAGGATAAATCTATGCTCCTCTGGAGACACTTTTTTAAAATTTGAAACTGTTTTTTCTAAAAAAAAATACAAAACTCGACTTTTTTTTACTCATTTTCTCAATTTTTTTTAGAAAAAACTAAATTGAATTTTGAAAAAGTGGTTCCAGAGGAGCATAGATTTAATCTTTACCTACACGTACATATTTTTTTCTTTCAGAATAAGTCAAAAATAAACTTTAAAAGTGGGGTACTACGAAACCCTTACATGGCAAGATTTTTCGTCTGGAAAGTGGCGCCTCTGTTAGATTTTTAAGAAATGAATATTTGTGAATGAAAACAATTTATAATATATTTTACTGATGTTTTACGAGGGATGAATAAATTTTACTTATTTGTACACCTTATTTTTTACGTAATTTATTTCTTTAATACTAAGATTGGTATATATATTATACGCAAGGGTTTCATAGTACACCAATTTTACGGATTATTTTTTAATTTTACTAAAAAAATTTTTATGTAAGTACAGGTAAAGGCTTAGCCCATACCTCTCTGGAGTCACTTTAAAAATATGAGTCAGTCTCTTTTGAAAAAATCTAAGAAAAGAAACGAAAAGAAATAGAAATGTTAAAAAATGCTAGAAGAGAACAATATATTTAATTTTTGCCTACAGGAGCATTTATTTTTATTACAATAATAATAAGAATACGTTAAAAGCTTTTTCGTCTAGATGGTGACAGCAACAAAATATATATCTTTTTCTACTATTTAGTGATAAACAGTACGTAAGTGATTTGAATTCATGTTGTTATTGTTTACATACAGTAATTTTATCATTTATTTATTAAAAAAATATATACTCGAAATTGGAAGGTATGCACTGAGATGTGAATTATAAATATGTTTTTGTTTAATGAATACCTCTTCGAGTTAACAATAATAATTAATTCCAGCATGTTAATATCTCTTCAATCCGTTAAAGTAATGTAAATATTTTTTCTTGCTTTCGCGCATGGCTTTGATCTGTCGCACCCTTTGAGGCGCGTTGCAAGAGAAAATTTTCTAAAAAGTTATCCAATTTCTATAAATGAGAAAAAAAACGATTTTGACAAGCTGATTGTGCATTGTGGCACAATAAAAGACAAGTCAATGCTTTAAAATTTGGAGAAATTTGTAAAAAGTTTCCTAAAATCTTTTATTTATTTGTAAACCACCCGATATGGCATGGACCATAAATTCAGAGCAAAATAAGATATGGAAAATTATTTTTATTTTTATATGTGGACATTTTATTGAATTCGAATTTGATTATGTTGCTGCCAGTCTGGATGGAATTAAAAAAAAAAAACAAAACTCTATGATAGAGTTAAAATGTCCATATGGAGCTGAAGTGCTAACTGTAAAAGAAGAAATATACAGTAGAGAAATAACTTTTTGGAAAAAGAACAATACCATTAAGAACCACTATTGGTATTTTCAAAATTCAGGGTTAGCTGCACATAACACAAATGGATTTTTGCATTTTGTGCTTTTGGACTTCTGGAAAAGTGGAGAAAATATCTCATAATGACAGCTTTTGGGAAGAAAAGATATAAAATAAAATTAAAAATTTTTATATGCAATATACCTTGCCGGTACTTGTTAACAGCGAAGCTAATAGAGACATGGAAGTACGAGACAGAATACTAAATAATTCGTAAGAAATTTTATTTAATGTTTATTAACATAACGCAAGGAAGCTTAAATTATTTTGAATATTTTTATTAATTTAAGAATTACATTTTATTTATTTCTAAAACATGGTAGTAGGCGATCCATTTAAGATATAATTAATGTCTTATTATTATAGTGCACTATTTTAAATTTAGGATTTTACCAATGGCAGTGGTAATTGATGATATATAATTATGATTATACCAAATGTTTTAAAAGGCTACACCAACTAGTGGACCACGCTTTTAAGTCCCCAAATAATAGTTTCAAGATTTTGATTCGGATTAGAAGTTTTGTGTCAAAGCCAAGTTATGTATTGATATTGTAATACGTAGATGAGTAACTATCATCAATAGAAATTGAAAATTCACACATGAATCTTTGTAACGACGTTATTTATTTATTAACTTCATAACGGTCAAAAATTTTAGTTAACTTATTTAATTTTAAATATAAATTTTCATTTTAACTTAGAAATTTTCGAAAAGTTCACTATATTGTTTAGTTGTTGCAACTTTACTGCGCTTAAGTTGCGTTCAGATTAAAATATGAATTGATTTATGGAGCTTAACTGAAAAACAGGAACTAATGCTTTCATTCCAAAAAAATTATTATGTTCAATAAAAAGAATTTCGAACTGTGATATCTGCAAGTCCTTATGATTATACAAGAGTTATCTTTATAAGTTGATAGAAATATCGAACAAAAGTTTATTGACATAAACATTATTTCCATGATACAAATAAATATATCTCTGTTTAAGAATACTCATAATTCATTTAATATATTCATTTAAACATGTTTTTGTTTTTTTGTCTGGATGATATTGAATACTAACTTTTTCTTTGTAACTTCGTTTACCCGAGACATTGTGATATAAAAAAACAGACAATTAATTAAAAGCGTTCTCACAATTTTTCAGGTATAGAATTTTTAATGCTATACTGTTTCCCAAATTATGAAAATACTAAAGAATATTAAAAAAAAAATAATAAAAAGCCAATTAAAGAATGTGATAATATCTACAGAAAAACATCGTATTTCTATTTTGGAAACAAAGAGTAGTCGAAAATTGTTAAAATAACAACATATTTTTATTACACAAAAATAATAAGTCAGTTTTTGTTTTTTATGTAAATCATATCAGAAGAAAAGTCACCGAATACCGATTTCAGAGAGGCCTGTTAGTTTTTATAGGAAATGGAAAGAGAAAGAACGCTCTTTAATCAAGTTAAAATTCTTTACTAATTTCGCTGTTTCTCTTCGACGATGTCCGGTCTCCGTCTTGTTTAAAATCGATAACTATAAACAATTTAAGGAATTTTGTACCGTGTTAAAAAATTTAAGAAAAATTTTTCTTTTTTTAAAAAAAATAGTAAACTTTGACAAATATATACAATATTCTAAAAGATAAATCACATTTATGTGATTATACAAAAATTTTATTTATTTTTCTAAAATAATATGGATTGTCCTCTAAAATATATATAGTGGCTCGCAAAAAGTCTGCTTTTTATATGTTACTTTTTTCAGAAAATGTTATTCCTGATAAAACTTGGTGTTTAATTAAACCTAAAACTTTATTTATTTAAAAAATTCTCTATTATAAATATAAATTTGGCTGCACAGTGAACTAGGTACTCTTTTAGGAACCGAACCCACATTTTTACATATAAGATTAATTTAAGAAAATGTATACAACTCCAGATAGTAGTTTTTTAGTTAATACAATTAATATAGATTATTATATCCTT